AGAACCAGTGTACGCAGACTCTAATAGAAGTACTTTAGGGGGATTGTAGTGATAATCCCACGTTACACGAGTTTGCCATATGATTCAGCCAATAGCACTCACTCTCTCTAAGTTTTTACCTCTCTTTACTTATTCCTACACATTTAGATTAACTGCTCTAGCTACCACAATATGCATATATTAATTAACTGCACTCCTGGGATGTTAGCAGAGTGGCTCTAATTTCCCATTTGAAAAACATATACGTTACATGCATACCAGTTTGAAGGGGATTTCATAAAGCATAGCCTCCGAGTTTCTCCCCTCCATGGTGCCTATCCATTATTAAAAGCAAGCAATCCTTCGCCCATCAGAGAAGAAGTAATTCCATAGTTTTATACATTTAACATTCAATCTTAAAGCACCATATCTAATTGTAGGCTATTTCAGAGGAGTTTAAGGTAGCTAAATTGCTCATCTTTACTGAAAAGATTTGAGGGCCATATGGCAAGAACTCCAAATTGGTGGGTAAAGTGTGAAAACACAGAAGGAAAATAAATACAAACTATCACAGTTAAACAACAACAGGTGATCCATGCAGGACCAAGCTGCTTCCTTTGTGCATATTTTTTGAAGAATCTGAAAGCAGAGGCCTACAGCTGTAAGTGAAGAAACCTGTGACACAGGTACCACTGGAAACAAAAACAACTGAACTCCAGATGCATTAGTCTTCTTGAAAATGGAATTCCAAAGGATTGCCCAGAGCAAGCCATCTTCAGTTATAGCTGGATGCTGATGCTCAGAACTGTCTGATAAGCACAGCTGGTGTAAAAACTCCAGTAAGAATGAATTCAGCAGGAGAATGAACAAGAAAGTTTTAATTTTTTCTAAGGGGAAGGACTTGCAGGATCATACATAAATAACCAAATTCTAACTGGAGTCAGCAATGTGAGCTCCAGTAACAGCAACAGAAATGGGAGTATTACACACCAATGTGCCAGTGGGCAAGCATTTCCCAATATTGTGATCAGCTGGAAACTGGCCGAGGGGGTTTGCTTTTGTTTTCTACCTCTTTCCCACGAACAGCAGCCACATAAGAGAAGAGACACAACACGGAATAGCAGATCTCATGGGCCTAGAAAATATTAGAAAAGGAGATAATGAGATTCCAGACAGTACCGCTTCACAAAAATACACTGACAGATTTGTATTTACTGTATATTCTCCCTCCTTCAGAGTGCATCTTTCAGAACAGCATAGAGAGCTCTGGCTAGAAGAAAAAAAAAAAAAAAAAAAAACATGGGGGTGGAGGGAGGTAATGGCACAAGCTACCCCGCACTATCCTTGTGATGAGGTGGAAAGGAAAGATCCAAAGTTGTTAATTATACCAAATGAGAGAGGATTTTAGGATTAGAACATCGGAAATCATACCACAGAAGAAGAGAACAATGGTCCATCTAGCTTTGTATCATGTCTTTAACAGGTGCCAATGCTAAGCTGTACAGCGCTGCAAGAACTCCTTTGGTGGTGAAGAAAGGGGCTATCTAAAATTACTGTAACACACCTAATTGTCCAGTACTGTCCCTTGAATCACAGTGGTGGTGGTGGGATTTCTTCCTTACTCCCAGTTATGATCATTTTATGCCCAGAAACATAGAGACTGCTAGCCCTTGTAATTTCATCCCAGCTGATGTAACTGTTGATATTATTTTTCATATAAATGTCTTATACTGAGCTATTTGCTTCATTATTCTAGGACAGAAAGCAGCATAGTTTAATTGTACATGGCATTAAAAAGTATTTGCAATTATGTTTTAAATTATTCAGTTTGTTGCCATTTAATTCAAGAGCCATCTTTTGGCATTATGGGAGGCAGTATAAGCCAATGAAGGTTGGGGTGTGGGAGATCAGAGTTGCATTCCTAGCTTTGCCAGTGATCTGCTGGCTGACCCTGGGCAAGTTACTTCACCTTGCTGTGCCTCTGCTTCCCCTATCTGTAAAGGAGGCTGATACTATCTTTGTAAAGCACTTTGAGTTCTATAAATTAAAAAACACTATATAAGAGCTAGGTGTTATGATGAAAGAGGTAAATTTGATTGTTCTTGTACTATAGAATGTCATAAAATGACTTACATAAACTAGCACACATTTTCATGTAACCTGATTTTTCCTTCCCACTGTACTCTCTTTTTTGTTCTGGAATAGACTACTCCTGGGTGAATTCTGTGCATGTGCAGAATTTATGTCCCCTGCAGATTTCTTTGCTGCAGAAAAATGACTTTCTGACAGGGAAGCCACAAGAGCGGTCATGCTACCCTCCCCAACAGTGCGTTTCGGTGCCCAGGGCAGCCGGCAGAGAGGTAAATCACCGTGGGGCAGGACTGGGGAAGACCCGGCTGGTGGCTCATACCCTTGCGCTAGGCTCAGCTGCCAGTCCCGACTGGGTTGGGGAGGATGGGACGACTTCTTCCCCTACACAGCATCCGAGGCCGGGTCAGACCCACCCTCAGATTTTCCCCCCAGCTGCAGGAAGCTCTGCAAATTCCCTCCCCCCGCTTCCTGCACCTCAGCTGCAGGGGGAGGGATACCTGTGCAGGAAGCTGCTCCTCCATCTGCCCAACCCCCATGCATCCAGACCCCCCCGCCTCACCTCCCCACACTCAGAACCCCCTCATGATGAGCCCCACTTCCTCTGCACCTTGACCACCCCAACAAGCTATCCGCACCCGGATCCTCACCCCACTGAGCCCCAACCAGCTGCACCTGGATCCTCACCCCCTCCGCATCTGGACCCACCCACTAAGCCCCCCACACCCAGACCTCCCTGCCGAGCTCTATCCCCCCCCCACCCAGACTCTCCCGCCCCTGCTGAGCCCCAACCACCTGGACCCCCCTTCAGAGTCCCATTACCGTTGCACCCAGAATCCCCCAACAAGCTCCTGTTCATCCAGATCTCTCTCCGGACCCAGATCCCCCACTGAGCCGCCTGCACCCAGATTGCCCCACACAGAACCGGCTCAACCCACACCTAGATCCCCACACATTAAGCCCCTCCACACTTGGATCCTGCCTTGCTGAGCCTGCCTTTGCACACCTGATGCACCTGGCATGGAAGGGCAGGGCACTGGGATGTTTCTGGTGCAGGCTCGGTCCTTGTGCTGTGTCAGGGTTGGGTGCTGAGCGGACTCACCGCTGGAGTCCGTGTGCCGGACGGGAGCTGCACAGTGATCTCCCACCTCTGCAGCCAGTGGCTTGTACTCCCCAGTGTCATGGTGAAGCCTCCAAATTTATTTGACAAATAAAATTTAAAGAATTTTTACAGAATTTTAAAATATTGTGTGCAGATTTTTTAATTTTTTGGTACAGAATTTTTAATTTTTTACACTATGTCCACTGGATCCCCCTCGTTCACATGCTTGTTGACCCCCTCAAAGAATTCTAGTAGATTGGTGAGGCATGATTTCCCTTTACAAAAAACATGTTGATTCTTCCCCAACAAATGATGTATCTGACAGTTTTGTTCTTTACTATAGTTTCAAACAGTTTGCCTGGAACTGAAGTCAGGCTTACTGGCCTGTAATTGCTGGGATCACCTCGGGAGCCCTTTTAAAAATTTGGCATCACATTAGCTATCCTCCAGTCATTTGGTACAGAAGGTGATTTAAATGATAGGTTACAAATTACAGTTGTTAGTTCTGCAATTTCACATTTGAGTTCCTTCAGAACTCTTGGGTGAATATCATCTAATCCAGGTGATCTATTACTGTTTAGTTTATCAATTTTTCCAAAACCTCCTCTAATGACGCCTCAATCTGAGACAGTTCCTCAGATTTGTTACTAAAAAGAATGGCTCAGGTTTGGGAATCTCTCTCACATCCTCAGCCATGAAGATTGATTGAAAGAATTCATTTAGTTTCTCTGCAATGGCCTTATCATCCTTGAGTGCTCCTTTAGCATCTTGATCGTCCAGTGGCCCCACTGGTTGTTTAGCAGGCTTCCTGCTTCTGATGTACTTAAAAAAAATGTTGCTATTACTTTTTGTCTTTGGCTAACTGTTCTTCAAATTCTTTTTTGGCCTTCCTAATTATATTTTTACACTTCATTTTCCAGAGTTTATGCTCCTTTCTATTTTCCTCACTAGGATTTAACTTCCACTTTTTAAAAGATACCTTTGTGCCTCTCACTGCTTCTTTTACTTTGTTATTTAGCCATGGTGGCACATTTTTGGTTCTCTTAACTACCAGTATGTTTTTTAATTTGGGGTATACATTTAAGTTGAGCCTCTATTACGGTGTCTTTAAAAAGATTCCATGCAGCTTGCAGGGATTTCACTTTTGGCACTGTACCTTTTAATTTCTGTTTAGCTAACTTCCTCAAGTTAGTTCTGATGATAATCCTTGATTTCTGTTTCCAACTTGCAAGCACATACAGGGCTGACCATCAAATATATTATGTAATTAAAGGGTAAGTACGATTTTTAACTGCTATCTTGTGTTCAACAATTAAGAATAAAAAAACTGATACAATGGAACTGCTCAATAACCCATCTATCTAGTATCTTGTCTGACAGGTATCAATATTTTTCAGACAGGAGTCAATACCTGTTGGAGGGTATAAAATCCCTTTCATGTACCTCACTGCTCAGTATTATACCAAAAGGAGAGAATTCTTCATGAACTCAGCTAGAGATCAATTTATGCTCAGAAGTTAGACACACCTTTCATCTGTTTTGTGGATTAGGCACTTTGGTCTGCAGAGTCATCAATTCAACACTTAACAGCACAAATATGATCAATTAAAAAAAATGCACTAACCAACCTCTCTCTAAAATGGACCCTTCTATGCTGTCTCAGGATCTCCCTTAATTTTATAGAAGTAGGAAGCACCAAGCTACAGCCCCTTTGTACAAGCGCTAGAACAAAAGAGAAGGTTGTGTTTCACTGTAGCTCTAAGGCTGCATAATCCTGCGATCCCAGTTTCTATTGTCTTCACTCAAATTTTCCACTAACACTCTTCCACAGAACCTCCATTTGGAGGAACAGTCTGAACCGCATCCCACATGGCATTATGTCAGTAAACTGCAGGACAAAAGAGTGGTCTCAGATACCAGAGTGATGGGCATCGTATGAGAACTTAAAAATATACCCTCTAAAAGAACTAGAAGGTAAGACAGTTCACTCACCATTGGTGTCTTGTACTTGTGGCTCACCACTTCTTTAGTTTCAGGAACTAAAACCGGACGGGTAAGAGACAAAACAAAAAGTTCAAAAAACGAGAGGAAAAAGTGAAAGAAATAGCACAATGTTCCCAAAGGAAAGGGGGAGGGATGCACATAGACAGCTGGTGCAGGACCAGGGCACCTTGCTACTCCTCACTTCTAGATACTATTCTTTCCCTATATTTATACTATCGTGATCTTTTGACGATACCAGCAATGACACATTATGTAACTCAAGATGGCATAAAACATTTCTTTGGCTCCTTGATTGAGAAAAAAGAATAGTAGGTGTTTGATGTATCTCAGACTCATCATTGGCTTTGCTGGTGCTATTAATTCCTGTTAGCAGAACACATGGTAAAATCTGTTTATCAGCACAACCATATAGTCTAAACCAACATCTCTTTTAAAGCCACTTTGCTACTTTAACTGCTCGCTCCCCAGTGTACCCTCTAGAAATCTGAATTTTCCCTGTGCTATGCGGTAGTTTGTATAAGAATGACTGGATATTTCTGCCCGGGATTCAGTTAAATCCATAAAAGAATAGGAATTAGACTGTGGAGAAACCAATCTTCTAGAATGGAAGACTATTTCTCCTCCAGGCCAGCTGTATCTTGGACACTGTTCATTGAAGTTATTTCATTAAGTCTAACACCTGTACTCTGGAGTTTACCTGGAGACCTCAAGGAAAATGTTCATTGCTTTATGAACAAACTTACTCAAAACTACCAACATACAAGATTTCAGTTACACATGGCCCTCAAAATATCAGGCTTGATTTGACTTCTAGGTGTATTAAAGGAAACACCAGCAGGAGTTGCTGTAGATGACACAGATGCAATCTGTTACCAGGAAAGCTCAGCCTTTGCTCCCTTGAACTGTCCCTAACAAATAAAGGAGGAATGTAGCACAGAATAGCAAAGGAAAATTTTACCCTCTGCTCTCATTAACCCAAATTACCCCACGCTGAAAGCTGCAACCCTCCCATTAGTGTGTTCCACCTGCACTGTGCTTCTGTCCCACTCTTCTGCACAAATCTCATGGAAAGACAATATAGGGAACAAAGAGCACAAGGAGTATAATGATGCACTATGAACATAAAGGCAAATTTAGATTTTTTTAAACTAAAGGAACAACAAGACAATTATATTTTGAATCCTTTCCTTTCAAAGTGGCTGAAACCTGCCTTGGAATTTCTGTATGACAACAACAATCTTAAAGAAACATTATAAATTATTCAAGACCAGACCAAATAAGTACCAGTTTAATAGAGGAAGGTGGGGAAGGAGGAGTGAATATCTTATAAAGCATAGCACCTAGTGACAGAAAGACAGTAACAGGCAAAATATATAAACATGAGCTCAACATGAAGAGCTCGGGGGGGAAAATGGACACCAAAACCTAGCCATGCAGATGTCACCTGTGATTATGACATGACACAACAAAAGGTAATATGGAAAGAGGGCTCATACTCTAGTGAGTCAAAACTAGGCAGTGCAGACTGGTTCAAAGAGAAGGGACTAATAAAAATCAATGCCTATGATTTGATCTTAGTGTATCACAGTAGCAACATCCCTGGAAAGACCCATGAAAAATGCAGCCTTTGTTTATAAAATAAATATTTGCCTTTGAAATTCTCCATTTTCTTGGACAGAGGCAACTACATCAGAGGCTGAAAACTGGGTGAAGTGCACACCCAGGCTGCACTGCCCATGACACCAGTGGCTAGAGCTGGGAAGAGAATGCGGTGCACATCCAAGCTGCCTTACCCGTTGGCACCAGATGTTCCAAATTAACTCCATGTCACCAGGGGATAAAGGGGGAGTGAGGCGGTGGACAGCCAAATGGGATAGGATTACACAGATGTACAAATCTTATTTCTCACTGGATAACACACAATCGTTCATATACTCTTCAAAAGCAGGAAGAGGAAGCTGGAAGGAGCTGGTGGCATGAGGGAAGGAGAGAAGGGAAGCTGTAATGTCCCTGATCCCCAAATACACAGCAGGGTGAGGACCTAGGGAAGAAACCACCTCCTTTCACACTCACTGAAGTCACCCTCTCATCAAATGAATGACTCCCCTGTAGCCCTCCAGTGGGAAAAAATACTCCTGAGAGGGTGGGGTTAGGAAGGAGAGAAGAGAAAAGCTTTGGGTTTACACCCTCAGAGCTCAAAGTGCTAGCACTGCAGAGTATATAAATCATACTAATTTTTTTTCTTCTAACAATAAAATTGACTCAATACTGTTAAACTAAGAAGATGAAGGGGATAAGTTACTGAGCACCATCCTGCAGCCTCTGGCCCTGTGAATGAGAATATATGGCACTAGCAGAGAACTATTTCAGGGGACATCACTTTACCTGCTGGAGAATGAAGGTTTTCATAGCAGCGGCGATGAAGGGGCCACGAGAAAGTAAAGCACAAATACACAGCAGTAACTCAAATTCCAGAGGTAAGATCCCTACACTTCTTCACTTCCTTTAAATCTTTGTTCCCATTTGTAGACAACAACCCGTGGCTCTCACTTGGGCCCCAGTCTGAAATCACATCTCCAACATCCACCTTGCCATGTTAACCTGGTGTTTTACAAACGGCCTTTAATTTCCTACTGTCTTGTGATATTCAACTTCTTCCATTCCCACTAAAAAGACCATGCTTGGAAACCACTAAAACCTCCAAAATAATTAAAGTTAACTACATTTCCTGGTAATGAAGTCAGGCTGACTGGACTAGAATTTCCAGGATCAGCCCTCATGCCCTTCGTTAAAGTACAACCATGGCTACATCTCCAGTCCTCAAGCACAGAAGCTGATTTTAAGATTTAGTGTTTTGTTAGCAGCTCATTCACTTAAAAAATTAAGTTCCTTCAGAACTCTTGGCTGAATATTACCATTTTATCCTAGTGATTTGTCATCATTTCTCTTTTGAGCATAGAGTCCAATAGTGTCTCATCTTCATTATCTTTAAAAGCGTAGCTCTAGGGAAAATATCTTTCTATTGGTCTCTGTACAAGAAAGCAGGTTAGATTCTCTGCAGTGTCTACCTTCCTTTCATTTTCTCCTTGGTAATCTGGTGGACCACTAACTCCACTGCAGACTTCTTCTGACATATTTAAAGAATTGCCTGTTATTTTGGTCTATGAGTTTTTGGCTATTTTATCTTACAATTCCGTCTTAATTTCCACCTTTCATTTTACAGGCCATAGATTATATCCCTTTCTATTAGTTTAATTTGAACTAAAGCATAGCATTCTAACCTCTTGAGCCTTGCCTTTTAACCACAGCACATTTTCCTTGCCTTTCTGCTTCCTACTTTGTTCAGGGGTAGGAATGCCTTCTGTGATTTATCAAGTTGCTTAAATAGCTTCTAGGCTGATTGCAAGGATTTAATTTCTTAATTTTTGTCTTCAGTTTCTTTCTAACTTGCTTCCTGATTTTTTACTTTAAAGCTGCCCTTCCTAATGTTACCTGTCACAATACTGACCTTCACTACAATTCTTTCCACAGTGCACTTGAAATTGATTTATGGTATGGTCATTATTACTTAGTGGCTAAAACTATAGTTACTTTTTGAACCAGCTTCTCTGTATTATTTTGTATGAAGTCAAATGTTCCCTCTTCTTGTGCATGCTCCAGAAATAGCTATTTGAAGAAGCAACTGTGTGTCAAACTGTCCCTCCAATGATGGCCAACTGTGACATTTGACCAACTAAATATCTGGGTAGTGGAAGTTACCCATTATGGTTTTAGCAGATTTTATTGGCTCTGATCTCTCAGCGTTGTGCACTTATTATAACTACTATTTTGCAACCCTAAGTGTTTGCTAACAGCAATGCTATAATAAACTTGTTGCCTATTTGGGGTAAATATGGTACAAGAGGAATAGGCAACCACACAGCGTAGAAATCTTCACCTTCAAGGCAGCACTTACCAGGAGCATCCGTAAACTATCCCAAACTTTTCCATATGTTGCATTCATTGTTCTGAGATGTGTGTGTGTGTGTGTGTGTGTGTGTGTGTGTGTGTGTGTGTGTGTGA